CATGCACTTAATTCTCCTTCTTTTACCTCCCAACTTCCTTCTATTTCTTCTGGAATTTATTTACTAGTCACTGTAGTCACTGCATATCTGGTACCATAAAATTGAGAATGAAATGCACAGTAAGAAAGAGAACTAAATAGATGTCTCTCCATCCTTTGTTGTTTATTAATTCTTGATTTAAATCACATTTTATGCCAGGTTACTTGTTATCTTATTTAAGACTTCTAAGCACTTCTAGACAGGTATCATATTTAACACACTCCTACAGCAACTAACACATGCAAACATCACAGCTGTGAGAAGTTGTATGGGAACTGCAGAGTCACGGCCTGAACCTCTGATTGTCCACCTGAGGTGAGCCATGAGCCAGCCACAGGAGCTCAGGTGAAGGCAATTCACCTGTGCTGCTGGAAGGGGTGGAGCCTGGCTGCACCTCTCCTAGACCTATTTAAGAGCTGGCTGCCAGGGGGGAAGGATCTCTTCTAGAGATCTGCTCTGCTGGTGTTTTGTGGTGAGCCCAGGATAGGGGTAAGTCTTCCATTTATTCTCTTTTGTTATCATGGTCTGCTTTGCCTAACTCTCTTGTTTATTTTGTGATTATAACATCCTAATGCTTTTTGATTATACAGATGGGTATGATAGTAATTGAAAATAATAATTCCACTCACTTGTATTTATAGTTGATTTGACCAATATTGCTTTGGGAGAACTACATCCAGCATGAAGTAGTTAATACAGCTATTCTTCAAATTTTAAAGATCCAAAAAGCAAACATAAGAACACATGCTTCTAAAATTCAGAAACCTTTAATCAGTTTACAGAACTCTAGTATTATACTTCTGAGATTCAAAACACATTTGCAAATTCAGTCCCAACTTAGACAATTGAATCTTAGCATATTTGTACTGAAATGTTTGCAATTATTCCACTAACAGCAATTTCACACACAAATTTCTTAGTTTTGCAGTGTGGAAAAGAACATCAGAATTTCTTTATTGATTAGTTATTTCAACTAAGTGCTCTCAAAAAACATAACTCAAGCCAGAAAACATTGTGCTGTAGTGTTCAAAGCTGTGTATGTGAAAAAAGCATCTGTAGTATCAGTCCAGTAACTGGGCAGTCACAGGATGTGTTCAAAATATTTTTTTTATGTAAGTAGTATTTGTTGTTCTCCACTTGAGAGCACTGTATTCATTTACATATGGACTTAATACAGTAGTAAAATGCATTACTATTCTCCATTGCTCCTTATAAGGAAACGGACAAAATTAAAAGATTAGTTAAGAAACCCCACTCGTCTCCCTCCTTTTTTCCTCTCCAAACAATCTGCAAGAAGAAAAACATGCCTCTTTCTTGTATAGAAAATGTTTAAAGAAATACCAGCTAACAAAACATGATGCTTTCAGAAATCATACATTTCATCTGTTTGATCATATAGATGCAATCTATGGATCAGGTAGACGTACCTGATACAGAACACTTATTATCATTGTGCAATATTTCAGGCAACAGCTAACAACAACAACAAAAAAACACCACAAAAAAGTGGTGTCATACAAGTAAATTGTGTTTGGTCTGGAAGAAGAAAACTGACAAGTGTATCCTATGCAGGTCTGTGAGCAGACCCTAAAATGACCTGTACAACAACGTAGGTACTCTGATAAGAAGATATCCTTCCATTTCTTTCCACCTACTGTTAGGACCTAGAATCAACATAATTGGCATGCACACTTTTTTGTGAGCACTTTAAGATATTAAAAGACAGATACTAAGATGTGTTTGCTTATAAAGCAACACTTTAATGATTTCATTATATTATTAGATAATTAAGTTATGCATGCATAAACAAGGAAAAAAATAAAGGGAAAAACTGATCACATTACAGTTGCACTGTCATTTTCCTATCTCGTCACATCCAGTACCATCATATTTATTTCCAGTTAAAAAAGTAATAGAACACAGAAAAATACAGTTGCTCCTGCAAAGGAGCTTTCAAATTAAAGTAAGCAAAAAAAAGATTAAAGTAGGAAGGGCCGCTCCCAGCATACAATAATTTCAACTGATAACAAGGAACAATGCTGAAAAATCAACTGCAGTGTGCTGAGTGACCAGAGAACACTGACTCTAAAATGTGCGCTTCCAAAGGCCTGCAAGTCTGAGATAGAACAGAGCTCTTAATTTCTGAATGTAGGAAATGCCAAAGTACAATAAGCTTCCCTTTGAGTTGAGCTATTGAAGTGTAGTAATAGCTTAAGAAGTCTTCAGCAGAAAACAGCAAATGAGATTTTTCTATTAGAGTTATAAAAATTACTGCATTTAGATTTGCAGTTTCACATGAATAAATTCTATTTCCATAATTTTGGAAGAATATTCTTTCTAGTTTGGCCAAAGTTTTAAAACAAGGCCCCAATTATATTACTTTTCAAGTCTGTATAAAGTTCATAATTTTGCTGTAAGCCTCACCAATTAAAGTTAAGATTTATTTCTCAAAAGAGCAGTAAAATATTTTAGCAACACAGAAAGCTTAATTAAATTCATATGTTTTACTTTCCAGATTTAGGGGCATTTTTGCTATTCAGTGCTTTATGAAGTATCAATATTATTTAAAATTGAAAGCGCCTGATCAAAGTAACCTGTGCAAAATATTATCTATTGCACACCACACCACTGTGGAATCCATCCAAGTGGCAATCAAAGAATGTGTGTTTAGGGCTTGACCGCAGATTTTGCACTAAGGTTTAAAGCGATTTTACTGCATCAATTATTTGATTTCATTTGCCTTTAATTGCCCATAACCAGACTCAGAGGCATCTTTCAAAATTTGGTCAATTGCTCCCTCTACTGGAAATAGCGGACCATTACACTGCAGATACAGATCTCATTTAACACCATAATTAAGAAGCAAAGCCATTAAACACATTACAGGAGTTTTCTTCTTAAATTTTGATCAAATCAGCTAAGTCTTGAAAGATGAATTAGCTATAATTTCCAGTCTCTTACCAAAAGTATTAAATCATGCATACTTAGAAAACATAAAAAGTAGAAAATGTAGAAGACAAGGAAAGCATAAAATATTTTCAGATTCCATAAAATGATCCCCCACCAAACATAAGAAACCTAAAATCAAGACTACAGGACATTCTATACTCTCCCTGTGCTCTGCTCTTTAATGAAGAATCTTCTCCACAAGGATCTTCCTTGAGAAAATTATGTGAAAGTTGAACAGTCTTCAAAAATGAACTACTAACATTCAGTGAATGCAAAGAAGCAAAAAATTCGCACACAAAATAATCTAAATAATCTAAAATAAAAATATATGCATCTTTGTGCACAAAAAGAATTCCAGTTACCTTTGTCATATTTGCCTTGAATAAAATGCATCAAATATACAATGAAAAGTCAAGGAGTTAATTTTCAAGATTCTGCACAAAAATTAATGCTTATTCCTTAAACACTACCAGGAAGAAAATGAAATTGTATCTCAAAAGATGCATCTATTATATTCTTACCTATGAATTCAAGCTCAATGAGAAATAATCCATTTGCTGATACTGAACTAGCAGACATAGCAATTGCTAGAGTCTGTACTGAATAAAGTACAGTCTGCTGGATCAGCAAACTGTAATTACACAGATCAGTAACAAGCAATCTTGCACCACTTTATCTAGCAAAGATATTGTGACTCGTATCACTTGTTTTCTTTGGCATTTACATTAATACTAATGATATCATGAGATCTCAGCTGAGAAAGACAATGGCTTCACCCTCAGCTTCTGTTGTTACTCCATCCACACACCAATAGCACATGGAGCCAAAATATCAAAATCAAAGATACTTCTCCTGATAGAATAGCTGTATTAATTGAGAATTAGTTAACAGTATGCCAGTTGAGGAGATCTTTGAAATAACAGACACAATACTGTCAATTTAAGCTGTTTAATCACATTAAACAGTAAAAAGAATTAAGTGTCCTAGCAAGAGAGAGAACTCCTACTTGGGAAAGAATGCAGATAGCATTTAAAAAATAAAGGGTTTGGTCTGCTTATTTAACAATTTTCATACACACACTAGAAGATTTCAACAGCTTTCACAGCCTGATCAGTCAGCAATATTTTTGTGACTGTGCTCAGAAAAAAAAAAACCCAAATAAACAAACCACCAAAACACCACCACCAAAATTATCCACTGAGAAAAGGGTCTCTTCTAAGGAGAAAATTCCTGGGTAAAAAAACCGAAGAATTGACATTTCCAAGAGAATAACACATTGCTCTAATCATTCAGAAATGCATGCCTAATCTAAACTACCTCAGACATACGTGAACAAACCAGAAGCAGGAAAAGTGGTCCAAAAGAGAAACATTCACCAATCTTACTCAACGATTAAGTTAGTCATAAGATGACATAGTTAAGAAAGAAACAAATATAAAGTGCTATATTTATTACAGAATGTTTTGAAATGCGTTACTCTTCAGTATGACATTAGAAACTGTTTGAAAAATAAATTGTAACATTTTACCAGGCACTAAGCACAAGTAATAGCTGAGAACAGAAAAGAGGCAGGAAGAGATGCAAGCAGAGTCAAGTGTGATAAAAAGTTTAAGAACATTACTGCCTCTTAAACCAGGAACTGCTAGATTATCTGGAAAGTACACAAAAATATTACAAGATATTTACAAGATAAGAGAAGAATCAGTGTTAAATTTTGTCTTATAGCAAGTGCTGTTTTACTGAGAATTCATGCAGTTTCTAATTCTAATCACACAATGAATCACTCCCAGTTATGTGATTTTTGATCTTGAACTGGCTCTGCCATGATACAGCAGCAATTCCAGAAGTTTGCTTCCAAAGACCCAAAATACATCAGTATGATCAGAAGCCTGAAGGATGCTCCTCTTCATCATTAAGTTCTAAAGCCAATCTACACACGTTCTAAGAAATACTACAAGTACCTTTATATTTTCTTTCTATTTTTTAAATAAAAGCTATGGCATTCTACTTACCTTAATGACAAACTTGTTGGATGTCATGTCAGCTCAGCATAAGCTGGTCCTATAAAAACATCAATTAAAAATGATCAGTACTAGGAAAAACTCATTATGCCCAACTAGGATTTCTTTTTAATCTACTAGTTTTTGGGGTTTTTTTCCCCATTACTACCACTCTTCAGACTTGATATTTATACTCTGCTGCACAGAAACTGTGGAAAATTATTCTTTAAAGGAGAATACCTGTCTTAGCTCCTCTTACTGAACTCTATCACCAGACACTGAACAACCAACATCTCTAATACAAAACTAGAACTATTTCCCAGCCCAGCGCTAGAGACCGACTACCCTTACTTATCCTAAAGAAACTGTCAGGTGGCAGCCAACTAAACCTGGAATATTCCTTTACTACTATGTCAACCACTGGCCCTATGTGGATGTCCTGGACCTAGTTTCTCTTCCAAAATAATACCTTTACATGAAATCCCTTGGCATAGCTTAAAGAATAAAGAGGGAAGTAAAAAAACAAACAAATAAAAAACAACCATGCAAAACTTAAAAAAAAAAGTATTTCTTTTAAGAAAACAAGGCTAATAAAATATAAATATGATGTATTAACATATATTAAAATAAAACATATAATCATAATATATGAAGTAATGCCAGTTCTAGTGAGAGTCCTCAGACCTAAGCTCGTCCCCTCCTATCTTAAGGGTACTGCATTTCTATGTAAGTAGGGAACCCATGACAGCTTGTATACATCAGCAGTCCTACAGAAAGTCTCCTCCATCATGCTCAGTTCAGCAAGGTTGAACTGCAGCAAGAAAATTTCTTAATTGAAACATCTATTTGCTACTACTACTGGCAGTTTAAATAATCACAAGTATCATTTAAATCAGCTCAGGAAAAGAGCACAATTGGGTTTTTTGTTTTTTTGTTTTTTTTTTTTTTCAGGTGGATAAGAGGGGGATAGGTTGAATGGATGGCAGTGGGGAAAGATTAAAGACAGTATGGCTTCTCACAGACCACACACGTTTGCACGCTCATTTAAAGCTCTAGACTATTACAAGCACAAAGCAATGTGACCTGAACGCTATTTTGATTGCACAAAGTTTGAAATGAATTTCAGATACCCTCCTGCTTATCCCAAACAGGATTTAGATTGCTTAATTTGGCATACTGGGTGAGAAACATTGGGCTGCATGAGCCCTGACAATTCCGAAGAACAGAGCTGTTTTTCATATTCTACAAGATTCCTACAGAAGTAGTCTCCTAAACTAGACAAATACAGTCAATTTTCTGATAGATAGTATTAAAAAAAAAAAAAAAGAGTTAAAATTCGGGAATATGTACCTATTTTTCACCATAATCTTCCAGCTATTGTAAAGCATTGTGAGAGAGCTGTCAAAATTTCAGGACACAAGTCTGTTTGGTGATATTTGTCTCTGTCAGATACTACACTTACATATTTAAAAACACAGTCATTTTCCTTATTTAGCTTCAAAAAAGAGTTAAACAAGAGTTTAAGCAGAGCTATTATAAGAATCTTAGAAAGAGATCAAACTCAGTAACTCAGTAGCAGCTGTTAGAACTTGGTCAGATAGAAGTTAAAAGGAATGAATAGCAGCCACCAAAGGAAAAACAAAACAAAAACTAAAACAAAACAAAAAAACACCAAATGCATTTCTCAATTTCTTATAATAATCTACAAAATTGTACTCCTGGTGTTCAGGAACTGCAAGGAAGGACTACTCACTCTTCATGCAAAAATATAAAGCAAGCAGTAAGATGCATCACACCCCAAAATACACAGACACTTGAGGCATATCAGACTCTGCTAGAACAGTAACAACAAAAGAAACCTATTCTCCCTATTCACACCAGCTGGGACTTTCATAGCTGGGTTTTTAATTTCAGTGAAAGACTAGTAAATCTAGAGGTTTACTAAGGATCCCTACATCTCCCCACATCCAAAAAGAAGCAAATGAAAACACAGTAGGCATAAATAACAAAAAATAGTTGTGGTATATCCCTTTTGAGTTGCATAAAGCACACATTTCACATCAGTGATGGAAGCTTGTGAACTCATGAATATTTGAAGAGCCCCTGTTTTATCATTAACCCTTACATTAGTAAAGATACAAAGAAGAGCTGAAATAATGCCAGGGTACCACCTTTTCACCAAATGCTTGTAGATATTTTTCTGGCATCACCAACATTACAACATGCCACCCAATAAGGATGCTGTTACTGATGTACCACAACCCTTAGTAGAAAGAATTCTTCCCCAAATCTAATTTACAAAGCAATAAGAGAAAGAAAAAAGAAAAAAACAAAAAAAGGAAAAAAAAGATTTTAAAAAAATCACAAAACAAAACACCATAATATTGAGACACCAATAAATGAGGGAAAAAATCCTACAACAATGCTACAAGAAAAGACACCATCCATCTCTACAATACTTTGATACTTTGTTGCAACCAAAGGATGAAGGTCTGTTACAATTGCTGTTATATGATAACAAAATCTGATTTATGGAATTCTCCATCCACCACAAAATAACCCAAGTCCTAAACAAAATCTCCCATAAGAAGACATGAAGACAACTACACATGACAGAAAAACCTACCTAAGAAATTTCACTCTCTAAAATATAAATCCTCAATATGGTATTTGTAGTATTTCAAACATCTAAATTATTGATGGACATCTTTCACCAACAAAAAACCCCACAATGAGCAAACAAACATCAAAACAAGCCCCAGAACTAGATACACAACCTCCTGGTAAGAAGCATCAGGCATGTTCTAGAAATGACACAATTTAAAGTCAAGTGAAATGGCAGAAACTTAGAAAATTAAGGAAATGGGGCTTCCCAGAAAGCAAGTTTTAGCAGAAATGAGAAGCAACAGCCCAAACCAGCGATGGAGCACCTGGTAGGAAGGCAGGGCCAACCCAGGGAGCTCAGGTGCATGCAACACTCCTGAGTGACTGAAATGTCCGGAGCCAGGATCCACCCCTTCCCAAACCTCATTTAAGGGTTGGCAGTGGAGGCAAAGGCATCTCTTGGTGGAGATCTCTACCTACCAGAGGCCTTTCAGAGGTAAGCAGCTCTTTTTCTTCATTTCTATAGTTGCTGCATTTGGGTTCATTCTTATTTGCTACAGCCAAGGCTTTGCTACCCTGCTATTATCACTGTACTTTCTATCCCATTATAGCATTACATAAGTCAGTCAGCTGATTAACAGCATCTTACCTTAGTGAAGATGTGGCTTTCAGTGCTGACAGAACTGAAAACTCCTGCTACACATGCCTACATTCAGCAACTTCTAACATTACAAACTGTTCATGCTCTGCCCATCTTTGGGAGCTGTTATCACATGTGAGAAGAGGTGGGTACCTGAAAAAAAGGCAAAACCAGAACAATAATTGGATACCTCTCCAGGATGTGCCACAGTTAGTTATCAATTAGAGTCAAAATAAAACTTTTTTTTTTTTTTCTGAACTCTCTGGAGCTTTGGTGTTGGACAGCAAGCACTGCCAGTGCTCTGGCTATTTCTAAATGTTGACCCTGGACCTTGGGTCAGCAGGGTAACACCATGTAACACGCATACTTACAAAGCATTTCTGCTTCTGCAGAAATACACCATCACCAGTGGGCATTGCCATTTTGGGAATTCCAGCCCATTATGCCCACTTTTTTTAATTTTTTTTTTTTTTTTCACTTCATCAGAAACTACTCTTTCAACAAGGTTGCAATTTTTTTATTTCACTGTTATCTGAACGTGTTCATTCAGAGTGTCAGTTCACCTTTAGAGTACAACACAAATGCAACAGTGGTATGTTTCACCTACACAGCTGTTGATATGTGAAAGCAATGAGATGCACACCAGAGCGCCCTGTCAGATGGGCTGGATGCAATCTTCTGGCCTTGCTGAGTGAATCCCAGCTGTTCTATGTATCTTTCAGAACTGCTATGCTCCTTTCAGAGTATACATTAAAGTTTTTAAGTTAATTTCTAATAAACCTGCCTTTTGGCTACGGTTATAAACTTCGTAATTCTCCACCAACTTAAAACCACGGGCAAATACGACAGAAGTGTTACAGCAACGGAAGGAACGGGGAAAGCAAAGAGCGAGTACAGAAGTACAGAATAAGACAAGCAAAAGGAAGCTCGGATGAGGGAGCATCTTGAACTCGTTGCGGTCAGGTAACGGCATCTACCTGCACGAAGACTCAGGCAGAGGAGCGCAGGAGCGAACGGGGCACAACGGCAGGCAGCGAAAACGAGGCGGCTTTTTTAAAATCAACGGGAAGCTCCGGGAGGCGGAGCCTGAGGGACGGCCGTTACTCCGAGCCGCCACCGCGCGCCTCTGTTTCCAGGGAAAGCGGGACTGCAGCCTAAGACGCGGCGGCTACATGCAACGAGACCCAGCTTGGGAGCAGCGCTGCTAAGCCGCGCTCGCGCCGCGTCTCCCGCCACGCCGTGCCCGCCTCCGACGGTCCTAACGGCTATATTGCCCCCAAGCAAGATGGCCGCCAAACGCGAGCTTCTTCTCCCCTATCCAAAATGGCCGCCATCCGTAGCCGCGGCCCGCCCAGCGTTTTGCCCTAAAGCAAAATGGCCGCCAGGGCGGCGGGTGACTGTAGGAGAGCGAGGGCACTCATTGATCACGTGATATAGGGCTGGCCGACGGCACGCAGGGAGAAGGACGTCCTCGCGTATATTCGTACGAGCCCCGTTCGGGATGGGAGAGGCGCTTCCGGTTCCTGTAAGCCTGCTTCCTGCTGTCGCCTCCCGCGCCCCCCGGCCTGGCCCGGCCCCTGGCGAGCTGAGGTGAGCGCTGGGCGGTCGCGTCTTTTCTCCAACTCGTTCCTGGTGGCCGTTGCCCCGTCAGCCATTCTGCGTCTGGAGGTTGTCAAGGAGGGGCGTGTTACTGGGTGAGGTAAGGTGAGGTGGGGGCTCCCGCCGGCACGTCTCTACGGAGGCACCTCAGCCTGCTTTTGTGGGGCCGACTCAGAGGCCGAATTCGCGTGCCTGGTTTTTCCTCGTCAGTGAGAGAATGAAGCGGCCGGGAACGCTTGCTGTCTGAGCTGTACCTTTGTAGGTCTTCAAACTAAGAAGATGTCGTGATATAAAATCAAAATATTTGTAATTGTCGCTTCCTATGCGCACGTTGGTACGTGCTTTTCCATGAGACTTCGTGTAGGTGGCTCTTCGTGTTCTTTATCAGAGCGGCTGAGTTCACTTCGTGATGCCCTTGTAGTTTCTGAGGCTCAAGGGCACAGAGGTAAGGCAGGCAGGCTGAACTGCCGGCCTGGGCAGCCTGGAGTGCTACCAGAAGCACAGCACAGCCTGCAGGCTAAAAGCTGATGCTCTCTGAGGAGCCCCTCGAGTTATTCTTGTGAAGTGAGCAGGAGAAATGGTGTATTTGATACTGCTTTATGTGTTGACTTAGCCTTCAATTATCTGCTGCCTGAGGTGATAATGTGTAATTAGGGAAACATCATGAAGCTTTAACATTTAGTGTGCCAAAACTTGCAGCAACATAGTGATTAACAGATCGAAATGTCTGAATTGAGGTTACTTTAAAAACCTTTCTTTTCCTGGAGGTTGTAAAGTAAAGCTTTCCTTTGTCATGTTGTTGTAATTGTTTGCTGCGCTGTAATGGAAGATATTTACATTTGAGCTTTGTGCTGTTATAAGAGGAAAAAGAATTTCTGAAATATATTTTAATTATTTTTGTCTAGGTACATAAATGCCAATTTATGATGAACCTCAGAACCTTATGGAAGGACTACAAAGTCCTGATTGTTATGGGAATTAGCCTTAGCCTGGTGCACTGGTCGTGGTTCCACATCAAGTCCAGTCCTCTTTTCCAAGTGAAGACAGAGGAGATTATTCCAGAACCTGGAATTGTGACATATATAATGCAAAGTGATCGTAAAAATAAGGAAGAGTAACATCAGGGCTGTGTTTTAGGTAAGCTTCCTAACCAGTTGTGCCTACATCTTTGAGGCAGGAGATCGCTTCTCTAGAAAATGCAGTATTGGTGCTGTGGTGTTAGTCTTCTAGAGTTTTATTCTTTCGTAGATGAGTTAACCTGGTAGTTACAAGACTTTTTTTTTCTAGATGCATGTAAGTTCTCAAACTGTTTATCCTGTATTAGTAGGGTTAATAATGTGATGCTGTTACAAGTTTTGAAAGTTATTTTTAAACAAACCCCAGTCACTTTTCAAGGCAACGGTCAAACTTCTGTGTCTGATTTGGTGTGTAATAGTGTCCTTTCCAGATTCAAAACTGGCCAGAATGACTACACTAGTATAATGCATTCTGTTATTAATAGTGGTTACAGTACAGAATAATGGTTAAATCTAACAGTCTCTAATGAGAGAAGTCTCTGTAGACATTGCAGATATATAGATGTAAGTAATGCATCTTTACATTTTGAAGTATTTAAGAGCTAATTAAGTGTATGCTGTATAAGTTGAAGTAAGAAACCCTTCTTGCAGGGGCAGAGGTAGAAGTTGTTTAAATGTGCGAAGATCTTTGTTTCTGAAGTGGCTGCATGGGAAGTAGTGCTGAATGTTTCACTTTTTTGTTCTTTGTTTAAAAACAGCATCACTGTAATCTGCCCCTTTCATACCATTTGGTGTATTTTGTAGTGCCATGCTACCTGTCAACCTGTACGTAAAACAGCATAGAACCTAAAGGTCAGAAGTGAAAGTAATAATAAAAATATATAGTTTGTGTACTGCATACCTCTATATAATGTTTTTTCAATTAAATATCATACTGTAGTTTTTTTCCATATGTAAGTTTTTCTGGGGGGAAAAAAAAAGCATTTAAAGGTGTGTGATACTGGTGTAAGATTGTGCTAATACCTAATAATCTTGTTTTTATTGTAGGTATAATTAACTTTGAAACACCACCTTTGAGTATCGCCAGAAGAGAAGATGAGGAAAGCTAGCTGGAGTAAAAAGAACATTCTGCTTGTGGCAGGACTGTCACTTATAGGTTTCCATTTTGGAACCATGCTTGTAAACTTTGTTGCAAAAAAATCTGTTCGATTGCATTCAGAAACTAAGAGAGATAATCATCGTGAATGAAGTAGCTATAAAGCTGTCACTACCAATTTCACACTGGGATTTAAGCCTCGTTTTGAGATGGCTGATGTGCAGAATCTAATGTACTTAGCATATTGTTTTACATTTAAAATAGTAATCTTTGTCAGCAAAGAATAAAAATGTACTGCTTTAAAGTGCCGTGAGTTCTAGATCTGAGTAAGAGTGAAATCACTCTTTTTTTTTTTTTTTTTTTTATATCAGAATTAAAATCTAGTTTTGAAAATGTCTCGTCTTGAAGCTAAAAAGCCTTCATTATTTACTAGTGAACCTTTAACTACAGTTAGTCAGCCACTGTCTCTGTTAATTGCAATATTAAAATCTTGCTATGGGCCTGCTGGTAGACTTAAACAGCTCCACAATGGCATGGGAGGCTACGTTTGTCTAACTTCACAATCTTCAGCCATACTTGGTCGTCTTTCTGTCAGTCACCCTGCATTAAAGGTTTTGACAGCCTCTGTGCAGAACCATGTGTCCCGCTTCAGTGACTGCGGCTTATTTACTGCCATTCTTTGCTGTAGCTTGATTGAAAGCTTTAAAAACCTAAATATTGCATCTTACACTGTCATAAAAATAAGCAAGCATCTTTTGAGTTTGTGTACTGACTACCTCAGGTCTGAGGCCTGTGCTTGCCGAGTATCTGTGGATTTTAGTAATCTTGAGACTCTTCTTTGTTTGGTCCGTAGCATATTAATAAGCAAACCTGCTTGCATGCTTAATAAAACAGAGGTTGATCATCTTGCTGTGCTAATTGTAAAGGCTTTTATGTTTACTGTTCCATGCCATCCTGAAACTAAGCCTGTTTTAGGAAAATGTATAACAGTACCTGTGAAAGGTAGAAGAGTTCTGGATTCTGCAGTTATTCCTGGGCTATTGATAGAAACACCAGAAATTAAATTTGCAAAACTGTTTTCTGTCAAAAGAACTTGCTCTGACACTGTCAAGGTAGCAGTTTTCTGTGTGTCCATGTCAGGAGACCTCTTTGACCCAGAAGAGGGAACAATAACAGTCCACCACAGAGTTTCTTTAGAAATGTCAGAGCTGGATCAGTTGCTTAATGTAGGAAAGCAGTTGGTTAACGATGAAGTTGGCCTCGTAGTGTGCCAGAAAGTTATCCATCCATCATTGAAACAGTATCTGAAAGATAACCATGTCATTGCTGTGGACAGGGCTGGGCTATCAGTGATGGAACCCCTGAGTCAAGTGACAGGTAATGAGTGGTTTTTTGTTGTTTGTTTGTTTTTTGTATACAAAATAGTTACCCTTGCTGCTAGTCTCATAATGAAAACCTTTCTAAATTGATGTCGCTGTGGAGCAGGAATTCTCCTATTTCTGTCTTTATCCTACCATAGTAGCAGAGCAAGTGTTTCAGACTAGAAAGTGCTATTTTCATTCTAAAAGCAATTCCATAAGAGTTTGGTCTTGTACTGGCTGGCTGCAATGATCTACTGCACAAATGATCACTGACTGTTCTGTGAGAAGTATAGAATTGTAGCAACTATTTGCACGTGTCAATTATTTTCAAACTCTTATCTAATGAGAATGATAAAGTTACTTCTTATCTTGAGCTAAATCTTACACTTTGAAAACATGCTGGTTTCTGCTTGAGATTGTCTGTGTAGACTCAAATGTTAATTATTGTAGAGCATACAATGTTTAAAAAGCCTGAAGGAAAAAGGTTGATGCTCTGTGAAATGCAGCAGATGGCTATTCTGTGACACTAATGCATGCTGCTCTCTTCTGGTTTTTTTTTTTTAAATTGGACAGGTTCAAAGCCTATAGCTTCCATATATTCACTGTCTCCCAGTTGTTACGGCAGTTTGAAGGACGTGTGTGCCAAGAGTTTTGCCTCCAAACACTTTGTGCATCTAATTCCTAATGACACGGTTGCTTGCAGCTTGATACTCTGTAACAGAAATGAAACAACTTGGGATGAACTGAAGGTGAGCAAATTTTGGAACTTCTGTTGTGATGTTTTCAGTGAAAAAATTAGAATAATGAGAAATACAAATATAGTGGGTTTTTTAACAGTGAACTTTGGTACTTTGGAGCTTAGTTGAGTTTAGAAAACTTCAAGAAAGCAATTTAGAAACTCCTTCATTTCCAGACCTTAAAAATCCTTGGAGTGCTTGTGTTTGTTTGATGCCTCTTGTTCAGAAACAAGCAGTTTTCATCTATTCTTGAAGTCAGTGCAAGGTAGAGGTTTTCATTCCCATTGGTTTATGGGAGCATAAATAAATTACTCAGGAAAAGGTCAGCAGCATTGCCTGCAGTGGCAGTGAAGTGTAAT